TTCAGATTTTTATTTGTTATTGCAGGACAACCATAATCCCCATCTAGAGCTCACTTTGGGTACAAGAAAGAAGATATCATCTGTATTAGATCACCTCAACCGCAAATGGGGAAATTCAAACTTATTATCTGGAGATTTAATGCTTTTTCCTTACTGGGCACACTGTGATAACCTGGTGGGGTGTCAGAAGTGGACTAAGGATTCTCTGCTCTGTGCAGCAGATGTATACGCAACAGTCGGAAGCCCTCCAGTTTTCCGCCTCAGGTTCTATTCTCTTGTTTTCTTTCTTCTTTCTGAAGAACGATGTTATACAATAAACCTAACGTAACAGGTTCTATTTCTTGTTAAAGATATGGTTGGTTTTCAAAAGCTGAGCTTGAATCTGCAACACCTCCAGCATTGCAGTCATATGCTGATGTTAGTGAGAAAAATATGAACATCTATATAATGAAAGAGCATGACATTGAGTCTGTGCCAACATCAAGTGCAACTTATCACAAATCTGGGAACTTAAGTGATACTTGTCAAGAACCGTTAGCCTCTGCAGATAATACGACTTTTACAACTCCCTCTTCAACCTTAGTTTCGGAGGATGAGATCATTGAGTGTTGTGGAATGGATCCCGACATCAATGTTTCAAGGTACATGGAGAGTACTCCAGCTGTTTCATTAGTAAGAAGGGAGACCGGAGCTCGAGCTGATAGAAGACAAGTTGAAAACATGGTATTTTTTTTTTTCCAACTATCGTTGCTTTATTGCATTAAACAGTAGATTTATGTATGCAAGACTGAATTCGTGCAATTGTTGAATTTTTAGGTGCAGATTAAGCTGATACTGTTTCAGATAATATCAAATCTTTTTGGTAGTTTAATATTATATCTCTCATCAGGAATGTTTACATGATCATAAATATATGGAATGTTACTCTGTTTGCCACTGCCCCCTTAGGCGGAGAAGACTGGAAGAAAAATTGAATTTTGGTTCCTTGTATATATTTTCCCATTTCCATATTAGTGAAAACATAATTTAAAAAAACCCTATTTACATGAACCCATGCATTTGATTTTGAAAATCTCAAGAACTTTTAGATGTTAATTCAAGGCCTAGATTTAAATTAACCACCATAATATATGGTCTGAAGTGACAACTTTTGCACTAGTATCACTGTATTCATTTGTACGCATGTCTAAACAATTCCTGAAAGCCTTGTCTCAACTAATCTCTATCGGAAATTTGTAGCATGATTTGTATCTGCGTCACTGTTATTTGAGTAAAGACTTTCAATCTTTGTAATCCCTACAAAGTACATAAATAGATGAAAAATGGTTTCACACACTTCGGGAAAAACTAACACCGAGATTGTTGTTTACTAGCCTGTAGAGTACAAAATTGACGTTGATGAACTTTCCTTGCATTAATCAGACTATACATCCAATTGAAAAATAGTTCCAATGACCTTTTTATTCCGCCTGTCATTCTAAATTATCCATTTGCTTTGCATCTAGGATGATCGGAGCACACAGAAGGATTTGGTACTTTCATCTGGCGAGTGGGCTGATAGTCTTACCTGTATAAGTGTTGGGGAGCTACTTTCTGATTCGATGCTCAACGTGGATGCCAACTGCACTGAGTCACCATTGCCTGTTGGCTCTAGCTCTCTGCAGCAG